TTCAGCACCACACAACACCAGCAAAGATGGATGAATGAATTGAGAAATCGACGAATGAAAGAAGGGGAAACTGTAGACGCCTATGCAGGGGCGTTGACTGAGCTATATATGAAAGCAGACCCATTAGGACAATACCCGGAAAGTGATAAATTACAAACGTTCCTAAATGGGCTACCAAGTCAAATAAGAATGTTTACAGAATTAGCAGTACCCACAGGATTTAGAGAAGCATGGGAACAAGCCAGAAAGGTGGAAAACACCTTAAGGAAGGATAACCCTTTTAATAATGATAATCTACAACATATTAATACCTTGGTAGCTACCCAAGTAACCCAACTAGGGCAAAACGTAAATGCATTAGCCATGGAAATCAGGGAAGGTCGGAAATGTAACCTTTGCAATCAACCAGGACACGAAGCCGTAAATTGTAATCAGCGAACCATGAACCAATGGCCAAATAAAAGAGTTAATGACCAACAAAGGGAATGTTTCTACTGTAATAAAAAGGGACATTGGGCTAGGAATTGCCCAGAAAAAGGCAAAATGGTAAAATGTTACAATTGTGGAAAAGAAGGCCACATATCAAGACAATGTAAATGGCAACCAGTGGCAGTAGTGCAAAGACAACAACCACAGCAACAGGGAAGGAATTATCAGCAAAGAACAAATAATAATCAGCAGCAACCAAGAAGAGTTATGTTGAACCAAGGGTACTATGAAGAACAACAAGAATCACAGTATTATACTGAGTATCAACCACCAGTAGTGTACTACCAAAGTCAACAACCTGTACAAAATTACCAACAACAAATTACACCACCTCAACAAATACAACAACCACAAACAGATGCATTTGGAGCTTTAACTACAGCTGTGCACCAGCTGACCTCTAAACTCGAAAATTTAAAAGAGTAAAAGCACCCCTAAAGGGGCAGGGTGGTGCTTTGGAAGAAAAGAAAGCCCCAGATAAAAAGATAGATGCCATAACTAGTAAAGCCCTCATAAATAATAAAGAAACAGAAGTTATAATCGATACGGGATCAGGACTAAGTGTAATCACAAAACAATATTTAGATAAGTTGGGAAAAGGGATTGACCAAGAATCCTACTCTCAGCTAGTGGACGTGAATGGAAATAAAACAAGACCATTGGGAATAGCCAAAGGAATATTAGTAACCCTGGGTGGGAAAAGACCAATAAAAATGGACATGGTAGTGCTAAAGGCAGAAAATTATAATGTAATATTAGGAAATAATTGGCTGAGGCAAATAGAAGCCACTATCAACTTTAAAAAGAAAATACTTGAAGCTAAAGAAAATGGTAAAATAATACAACACTCAATCATATTTGAAAAGGAGCCAAGGGAGGTAATACTTGAAGGAAATGAATTATACGAAGATGAAGTATTACAAGAAGAAGCAGCATACTTTGTAAAAGGAATGGGAGGAGAATGGAAGGAAACACCGGTATTCACCATTAAAGGGGAATCCAACCTAACACCCAAACAACAACAACAACTGGATAAATTCATAAACGAATACAAGGATAGGTTTGCGGAAGACCTTTTAGAACTAGGACGAATAAAAGAGTACGAACACCACATACCCACTACATGTGAATGGCCTGTTAAGAATAGACCATATAGACATGACAAAGAGAAAAGAAAATTCATAAGAGAAGAAATTGAAAGAATGATTAATGCTGGGATTGTTAGAGAATCAAATAGTGCATGGACATCACCAGTTGTAGTTGTAACAAAGAAGAATGGTAAACTAAGGTTATGCGTGGATTATAGAAAGTTGAATGAGAAAACTAAACGAGATGAATACCCACTACCAATGATTAATGACATATTTGATACAATGGCAGGGGCAAAATGGTTTACCACTTTGGACTGCATGAGTGGATATTGGCAAATGAAGGTTGCTGAAGAAGATCAAGAGAAAACGGCTTTTATCACAGAAGATGGATTATATGAATTCACAGTAATGCCATTCGGACTAACTAATGCACCAGCAGCATTTCAAAGAATGATGGACAGAGTTTTCAAAGATTATAAAGGGAAATTTGTGAATGTATATCTTGATGACATAACCATATACTCAAATACATTTGAAGAGCACTTACGACATTTGAGGAAGGTTTTTGACAAGCTAAGAGCAGTGGACCTAAAATTAGGAAGAGAAAAATGTGAATTTGCAAAACCAGAATTACATCTACTAGGGCATATTATTGGAAAAGATGGTAAAAAGCCAGACCCAGCAAAGGTTGAAGTAATCAAGAATTGGCCAACACCAAAAACAGTAAAAGATGTTAGATCATTTCTAGGATTAGCATCCTACTACAGGAAGTTTATGCCTGGATTTTCGAAGGAAGCACTACCAATGTTTAAATTAATAAAAAAGGATATACAATTTGAATGGACTAAGGATTGTCAAGACGCGTTTGAAAAGCTGAAAGAGCTTTTGACAAAAGAACCAATCTTAAGACATCCAGATTTCAATAAACCATTTATACTTTCAACAGATGGATCCAAACTTGGACTAGGAGCCATCTTAGCACAGGAAGATGATGAAGGAAGAATAGGAGTAATTGCTTATGCTAGTAAAACACTAGTAGGAGCACAACGGAATTACTCAGCATCAGAATTAGAATTATTGGCCGTAAAATGGGCCACAGACCAGTTTCATGTATACTTGCTTGGAAAACCTTTTACTATAATAACAGATCACCAACCGCTAAAATATCAATTTAGTACACTTGCTTTAAATAATCGAATGCAGAAATGGCTTGTACACTTACAACAATACTCGTTTAAAATTGAATATAATCCAGGACGTGCCCAAGGTCATGTAGATGCTTTGTCAAGATTACAGACCAACAAGTCTATAAACTGTGTGACTAATTAAGAGAGTCACTAAGAAGAAAAACAGGCACTAATGGATGTTCAATTATACGAGTCAATAAAATATTACTTAATAAACCATCGATTACCAAGCAATGTACCAACGGATATTCAACAAACTACACTAAAGAAAATACATGAATTCACACTTAAAAATGGAAAACTATTTTGGATAAAAAATGATATGGAAAAGAGAGTTATAAGAAGAAATGAGCTAGAAGAAGTATTATTTAACATACATGGGAGTCAACTATCGGGACATTTCAATACAGAAGCAACATTTAATAGGGCCAAACAAAATTATTACTGGCCGAGAATGTATAGAGAAGTAGAAAATTATGTGAAGAGTTGTGATACATGCCAAAGATTAGGGAATAAGAAGAAGTCAAATGAACTCCACCCAATACCGGTTGGACGAGCATTTGAACGTGTAGGGATAGATATTGTAGGACCATTATCAATAACATCAAAAGGGAATCGCTATATAATAGTAGCAACAGATTACCTTACTAAATGGCCGGAAGCAAGGGCCACCCAAAATATACAAGCAGAGACAGTTGCTCAATTTATCTATGAAGATATAATTTGTAGACATGGAACACCAAGTGAATTATTATCTGACCGAGGGACATCATTTGTTAATAGTGCAGTAAAAGCGTTATGCGAGACAATGGAAATTAACCATGTACTCACCACATCATATCACCCACAAACAAATGGATTGACCGAAAGATTTAACAAAACACTGTGTGAAACTATTGCTAAATTTGTAATACAACACAAAGGAGAATGGGACCAATACATTTCATCAGCCTTATTAGCTTACCGAACCAAAAC